GCCAGTACTGACCTCAAAAAACTTTCCCTTATGGAAGGGGTTCCCAGTTCATATGTACCATGCTTTTACTGCAGGCAGATTTGTCTGGTTTCTTGTCACTCAGGTCTCAAATTAAAGGTTACCTCCCCAGAGAGACCTTCCCTGGACATCCATCTTACGTAATGTCTTCCCCCATTTCCTATCATAGTACCCTCTTTTGTTTTCTTCTTTTTTTAATCCTCACCCAAGGATATTTTCCATAGATTTTTAGAGTAGAAGAGAGAGGGAAAAACAGAGAGAAACATCATTGTGGGAGAAATACATTGATTGGTTGCCTCCTGCACGAGCCTTGACCAGGGTCTGAGCCAGAGAGGAGCCTGCAACCTAGGTATGTGCCCTTGACCAGAATCGAACCCAGGACCCTTTGGTCCACAGGCTGACACTCTATTCACTAAGCCAAACAGGCCAGGGCTATTTTATTTTCTTTAGAGTACTTGCCAGTATCTTATTTTTTGCTTATTACTTTTCTCCTTCACTATAATATAAATTCCATGAAGTCAGAAACCTTATTTGATACAACATTGTCCATGTTGAGTATTTGTTGACTATTTAAATAAGTAAATCTAAGTGAAGATTTTCCAACAATATGTAGATGTTATTGAAATAAGTAAATATGCAAATCTAAATTTAAATGATACTTTGGAGATGTATTTCTTTTAGTAAGTAGATACTTAGACTGTCGTGTTAGGATCCTTCTTTATAACATTAAAAAGGGCCATCAGAATTTCCATTTTTGTCATTGTATGTATTCAAATTTCTGAACAATCAATCTCCTAACTAAAACAATTAAAGTGCTAGGTTAAATGTAATTTTTAACTTTAAAATTCCCAAATGAACTGGCAAAAAAAGTAAGGAGTTAGAATGACCCCAATATAAACTGTAACCAGAAACACTTCTCCTTGAAACATTTCTTTATTTCAAGAATGACACCATGTTCTCCTGGTTTTGGCTTCCATGTCACTACCCTGTCCTCAGGCTCCTCCTTTCCTGATTGCTTCTCAACCTCTTACCTCTTAATACTGGAATGTTCCAAGATTTGGTCCCTGGGTCTCTAACTTAATCCACAACCTTCGAAATCTTATCTAGTCTGTTTTAAGTATAATTTAGATACTAATAAACTTACAAATTTTTATATCTGATTCAGATCTCTCCCATGAACTTAAGATTTGCATGTTCAGCTGCCTATTTGACATCTCTACTTGATTGTCTAAAAGTCATCAGACTGCCGTAGCTGGTTTGGCTCAGTGGACAGAGAGTAGGCTTTCGGACTGAAGGGTCCCAGGTTCAATCCCTGTCAAGGGCACATGCCCAGGTCGTGGGCTCAATCCCCAGTAGGGGGCATGCAAGAGGCAGCCAATCAATGATTCTCTCTCATCATTGATATTTTTATCTCTCTCTAAATCAATAAAGATGTATTTAAAAAATGAAAATGAAAAAATTAAAAGTCATCATACTTAAAATACCCAAATGTGAACTTAGTGAATGGCAATTCCATTTTTCCTGTTGTGTAGGCCAAAAACATTGGAGTCATTCTTGACTACTCTTTTTCTCAGATCCCAAATATGTAGAGGGAAGGAAATGGAAAAGAAAAAATAGACAAAAATAGCTCAATCAATCCAAAATAAGGTCAGAAAAATATAAAAGGGAAAAGAAACCAAAAAACAGAACAATAGAAAGCCAAACAAAACAAAACATATTAGTAATTGTTCTAAATGTACTTAGTTCTCTAATTAAAAGCTGGATTGTTAAATTGTATTAAAAAAAAAATCTGGGGTGGGAGGAGGGCTTGCAGGAAGCAGCCAATCAATGATTCTCTCATTATTTATGTTTCTATCTCTCTCTCTCTCCCTCTCCCTTCCTCTCTGAAATCAATAAAAATATTTTTTTTTAAAAAAAAAAAGAAAAGTCATGAAAGCCCGGGCTGCATGGCTCAGTGGTTGAGCACCAACCTATAAACCAGGAGAAAACTGTTCGATTCCCGGTTGGGGCATATGCCTGGGTTGTGGGCTCCATCCCCAGTGTGGAGTGTGCAGGATCCTCATCACTGATGTTTCTATCTCTCTCTCCCTTTCCCTTCCTCTCTGAAATCAATAAAAAAATATATATTTTTAAAAAGTCGTGAAATATATAGAATATTTTGAACAACACAATTAGTAGGTTAGCCTAATAGAAATAGATAGAAAGTTATTCAAAAATTTGATTATAAACATTTTTAAGCACACATGGAACATTTATTACAAAAATGACCACATGTGAGACCATAAAGTTAGCCCCACAAATCTTTAAATGCAATTAAGTTAGAAATCAGTTACAAAAAAAGATAATTAAGGGGGAAAACATATCTTTGGAATTTTTAGAAATGCACTTAACTTTTGGGTCAAAGAGAAAATCATGTAAAAATTAGAAAATACTTAGAAATGGCAATGAGAATAATGTATCAAAATTGTGGGATGCCAATAAAGGAGTATTTTGAAGGAAATCTATAGCAGCAGTGCTTACTGCTATAGATTTAGGAAATAACTAAGGCTCAATATAGTGAGCTAGATTTTGGAAAAACAGAATAAACCTAAAGAAAAATTATAGGGATTACTAAAGAGCAGAGATTAATAAAGTAGAAAAATATTCATTAGAGAAGATCAATAAAGCTAGAAGTTAGCTATTTGAAACTACTAGTGAAATAGACTGACTTCTAGCAAGAATAACCAAGAACAAAAAAGAGAATGTACAATAATATTAAGAATGATAAGGGAACCATATCTAAATAGCTAAATGGGCTACATAGGTTAACTAGATAAATAATATAATAACTTTATACCAATAAATATGAAAAATGAAATTAATAGATTTCTAGAAAAATGCAGTTTACCAAAACTGGCTAAAAAAGAAATAAAGAGCCTGAGAATCCTATAACTTGAACCTAAAACTGCTCTAAGAAAAATAATGTCTTTAATTAAAAAAAAAAAAAATCCACCCTAGCTGGTTTGGCTCAGTGGATAGAGAGCATTGGCCTGTGGACCAAAGGGTCCTGGGTTCGATTCCGTCAAGAGCACGTACCTTGGTTGGGTTGTAGGCTCCTCCCTGGCCCGGGCCCTGGTCAGGGTTCGTGCAGGAGGCAACCAATCAATGTGTTTCTCTCACATTGATGTTTCGCTCTGTCTTTCCCTCTCTCTTCCACTTTCCCTAAAAAGCAATGGGAAAATATCCTTGAATGAAGATTAACACCAAAAATAAAATAAAATAAAAAAATTCTATAAATGTCAAAGAATTTGAATCAGCTTAAACTTCTACAAAGCAAGTATCAGGTTCAGATGGTTTCACCAATGAGTCAATAGAAAAAATGGGTAATTGAACTGTGGTAGAATCATACAACACAGCAATGGAAATAAACAAGCTATAGCTGCCTACATCCACATGTTTGGTTCACAAAACAATGTTGAGTGAAAGAAGCAGTCACAAAAGAATTCATATACTATGATTCCATTTATATAACATTCAAAACTACGCTAAAAAAATAAATACATAGAAATACATAAATGTAGCCCTGGCCAGTGTGGCTCTCGGTTGGTTGAGTGTTGTCCCGATAGATGTTTCTCACATTGATGTTTGTCTCTCTCTCTCTCCCTCCCTTGCTCTCTCTCTAAAATCAATAAAAGCATATTCTAAGAAAAATACATTAATGGATTTGTAACTATAAAGAAAAGCAAGAAAATAATTATTATAAATTTAGATAGTGTTTACCTGAAATTGGGGATGGAATCTGGGAGGATTTCTAGCTTCTGAAGGGCTAGAAATAATCCTGTTTCATAACATGAGTGTTGGATACAGAGGTGTGCTTTTATCATTACTCTTTAGAGTCATAGCTAGGTATATACTCTGGAGAAATACTTGGATTTGCCAAAAATATTTAT